ATCAAGAATAATAAGCTTTCATTTTCCTCGATATAAGTAAACAAATCAATAAGTCGATTAAAGGACCCAGCTATTCGTCGCGAAAAACTTCTGCGAATAAAGGAAGAAACCTCAAAATATAATTGCGAAACGGCACGTGCAGCTCCTAAAAGAAAAAAGACGCTGCGAAAGGCGAGAAACAAAAGAATACGATCAAAACTTGGAAAAAGACCTCGCATACTAAATTATTTGATTAAAATAAATTATAATAATCTACCTTTGTGTGCGACCACGGCATAGGCGGGTCCGCTGGCCTCATTTGAGATTTCATTCTGTGCACTCGCTATGAGGTGACTAGATAAATGACGTGTAGTGTATAAAATGCTATTCTAATCTGATATTAAAAAGAGCAACTTCAAAAACTTAATGGACGAAATCGTGGATCGGATAGAACGAATCGAAAAGACGCTGAAGAATGCTTCATCGAGGAAAAGGAACAGAGTCCCCAGTGTATTTTGAACAAGATGAAGGAAGAATGCAACATCATGAATTTAACATTTAGGGTGTGCTGAACAAAATCAAAAAACAGGTGGACATTGGAAGAAATATCGAAGACGCCTCGCAAACGAAAAGAGGCAAAGTACAGTTGACGGTAAGAGTAAGTGAGGTACGCAGTACATCATACCATTAACAATCTAGGATGTGATTGATGAGATTGCAACTCGAGTAGAGCACATCGAAAGAAAAGTGAAAGAAACTTCAGCAGAGAAGAGAGACAAGGTTTAAATTCCATTATACTGGTACAAAAAGCATCGCTCAAGAATTAATCTAATCGTTTAGACTGCATTGGACGATTTAGCAAATCGATTGAAGCTTATAGAGGCAAAACTTGGTAAAAATGCTCCACAACAAAAAGACGACAAAGTTTCACTAACGGCAAGACGAGAAGCATGCTTTCAGCGCTCCTTATTATATCACTATCCTAGACTGTTATGGATCAAATTACATTTCGACTAGATCGCTTAGAAGGGCAACTGAAAGATGCTTTACTGGAGAAAAGAGACAAAGTTTCATTGATACAAAAGCAATTCGCAAGGAAAGGTCCTTATTTGAACAATTCCAGAGTGTGCTGGACGAAATGGCAGATCGAGTGGAGCGCGTAGAACAACAGCTAAGAGATGATGCTTTGGAGAAAGAAAAGGTCTTTATGGCGAAATGGGAACAAAGTACCATAACGCCAATTTTAGAATGTGCTGGATGAAATGGCGAATCGAGTCGAGCGCATAGAAAAAGAATTATGGATAAACACACCACAAGAGAAGAAATTCAAAACCTTGTTGATGGTGAGAGCAGATATTAGAGCAGCAAAATCTTTCGTTTTTGATTTAGAATGTGCTGGATGAGATTGCAAATCGAGTAGAACGCATAGAAATTGGATCGAATTATGGTCAACTGGAGAAGTCAGACGAAGCCTTATCGATGGTAAGAGTAAAGTGATAAAAAA